CATTATTACACAAGTTTATTGTGAATTTTAAAAAACATACTTAATAAGCAAAGATATTTCATTAGAATTATTTCAAAGCAAAAAGTAAAAGGCTTTTATTTTAATATAGAAAAAGTACACATTTATTATAATCATTATTATTTAAGTATATTTAAAATTTAATAGTATGTCGTTTAAAAACAGTAAAATTTTAATACATTATTAGCCTTATAATTTATAAATGAAAGAAAAATTATTTAAAAAAAAAAAAAAAAGAAGTTATTTTATACCTATTATTCTAAATGTGTCACAGTAAAATGGAGAATTCATAGAGATATATGGTAATTTATATTATTAAATAGACATCTGTATATACAGTGGTTACTTTTTTTTATATATATGCCCTTTATAAAAGAAAATTGAGAACAACCTATATAATAATTTGAAAATATTATATTAATAAAAGTAAATTATGATTCCACATGAAATATAATTTCTTAAAAAAAAAGCAACAAAATGGATATTATTAAATAATTAATATAATGAACAAAAAACTAAGCAGAAGTTTTAGTTACAATTCAAGAATATGTTTAAAATACTTGAGTTTTCTTAATTTAACTAGTAAAAAGTATAAATACGAACATAAAGAAATGTTAAATTTTTGATGACGAAAATATGAAATTAAAAAAAGTTTAAAATACCACATATAAAATATATTTCAGATAATTGATTCATATTGAAATTTTTAATAATATATATTTTAATAATTCGAAGAAAATATGATTCAGATAATAATGTTTTTCTATTCAGTATAAAATTATTAGACATTTCATTTAAATTATACATCATTAATAGAAGTTATTCTTTAAAAGTATATATGGGTTAATGAAAAAAAATTTCTTATAAAAAAGAGAAATTGAATTTTATATAAAATAAAAGAAATTTTAGCATCTAATATGGTTTATCAATTATGTTTTAGAATGTACCAAAAAAAAAATATATTTAGAAAAATAATTAAGTTAGAAATGAAGTAAAATGATACAACACAAATTGAACATTAAATTACAAAAAATATTTCATAGAAAAATTATAATAAAATTAAGTAAATCATTATCAAAATAAATTAATACATAATCTTTTTATATGTATTAATCACATTAATACCGTATTATACAGGCATTCTATTATTCATATTATTTGAATACTTTTCTATTATTAATTTAAAAAATTTTTTTTTTTCTTTATTAGTTTTAATTATAATATATGTTTTCAATTAAAAAAATTTTTTTTTAAAAAAAAGAAAAGTTTTTTTCTCTACTTTTAATGTATTTTTTCAGGAAATATATATATATATATATATCAAAATAAATTAATAAAATTTACAGGAATGAAATGAAAATATCATATTAAAAGAAATTTACTGTTTTTTAGGATTTCCTTCTGGGAAATTTTTATACGTAAAATAAAAAATATATTGTTATATTTAACTTGGAAACATTACTATATTAAATATTCTGTTGACATCATAATTAATACATTTAACATTTGTTAAACACATAAAATACCTTTCATTTTGTTATCACTGTAAGAATAAATTATTTTGATTTTATAATATTATTATTTTTATGTGAAATATTATAAATATTATCCTAATAAAGGGAAAGTAAATTTTATATTGATTTAAAAGTTATTAAATATTAGCAAATTAACTTATTTATACATATTAAGAATTAACAGATAATAAAAAAAGATGATAAATAATGATGGATTTTATAGTTTGAATATTTCTTTTACATGCATGTCTTATTTATGTCATGTAACTCAATTATAAATAATTTATGATTTATTATACATTAATTTATATTTTCATACCTATAAATATGTTTATGTTTCATTTTATTCAAATTATTAATTTATTATTTTAATAATTGCTTAATAAAACTTATTATTAATCTTTTTATATACCTAAATTGTTAGTATAATGTAAAATGTTAAAAATAGATGCAAAAAAATTAGAATATTTTAACATTTTAGAGAAAAATTCTATCTTAGCTATAATAAAAAATTTTCATATTTCAATGAGAGATATTTTATTAATTTTTTTTATTTTTTTTTATATATGAATGAAATTTTATTGGGAATATCTTTGTAAGAATTATTTTCATTTTAGAGGGAGAATTTCTTTCTTTTAATATTGAGTAATCAAGTATATTACGAAGCTATATTTAAAATATTGAAATAATTTTCAGCAGAGAAAATTTTTGTTTTGAAAAATTTATAAAAAATGAATACAGTGAAATGTTAAAAGGAATAAAATAAGGGAAAAAACATTTTATTAAAGAAGGTATTAACTATTCATCTTCTATAAAGTTTTAATTTGTATTAAGTGATTTTATTCAAAATTATAAAAAGTTTTAATACTAGGTATTGAATTGGTCTTCAGATTATTTTGGTTACTTATTTCAAATAAGAATAATATAACAAAATTTAATCAGAATATCCAGTAATAAAAAATTAAATATTTTAAAATGCATCACCTTAATTGAAGATATACGCCAAAACATGATTTATCGAATTTTTAATAAGACATTATATAATATATATTGTAAAATTAACAATAATGTTTAAAAGTTAAAATATCAAATAATTTAAAAGAAAGATAAATAGGATAGCAAATATAAAAATCTATGTGTGTTATATTTATATATATATTTTATCTTTTTTAGAGTTTGAACAAATGTATTAACATTTCTACAAAATTGTTATAACATTGATTATTGTATATTTTATAAAGATACTTTATTAATTTTTTTCTATATATAAATTAGAAAAAAATGATTATAGCATATATTATAATATAAAATAGAACATTATATAATGCAAAATAAGAAACGATATTTTGTGTTTAAATAAACTTATTATGAATATTTTTTTGAAATACAAAATTATTACATGTATTTTATTTATATAAATATATAAAAAAAATTATTTTATAAAGTGATATAATATAAATTAATTGTAATGTAATTAGTTTACGTATGTTTTATTTACTAATACAGTGAAACAAAAGATTAAACTTAATTATTAGTTTGATACTAAAGTTATGCTTCTCTACGGTAGAGTTATATATTAATTTAAAAAAAAAAATTATCACTAAAAAATAAAAAATTTTTATAAATATATTAAAATTGGTATTTCTATTTAAGTGATGAAAATAAAATTTTCCTAAATAAAGAATTTTTTATTTCATTTCTCTAAAAAAAAAAAAATAAATAAAAGACTTTTTATGTTGTCTTATTTAGTGTCTTTAGTTATTTATATGTTTAGTGTACTAATATATGAGATAAATACAGTATACCTCATTTTACATTTTAATATTTCCTTAAAATTTTGAAATTAGCTAATTTTTTTATTTGTGTGATAAATAAATTGATCATTATGTTAATTCATATGTAAAATAAAATATATGTAAAAATATACATAAATTTTTTATAAAATTTTGTTCTTATTTAATTAAAATTTCATTTATTATTCTTTTTAGAAATGAATATAAAAACTAAATATTTGTTTAATCAGAACAATTAAACTTGCCATTTTATATACAGAAATTTTATAGAGTTTAATATTTAAAATTGTATAAATAATGACATTATTTAAAAAATATTTATACAATATTTTATACTTAAATATCATTTAACTTAATGATTATGAAATTTTTCTAAATTATTTAATATTTTTATATAAAATTCATTTAAAAAAATAAAGTTAATAATGCAAGCATAAAATCTAGCAATAAAATTAAGATTAAGAAAAAAGAAAAATATAATTTCCAAAAAGACAAAAGTAAAAAAATTTTGAAAATTATATTCGGAAAAAAAAATAAGAATGATTCTTTCATATTGTTATTTCATAATATATCTATCTGTATTAATAAGACTTCTTTTTGTATATATTTACTGTTTAACTAACACTACTTAATTTTACATAATCATATATTCAGAAAGATTAATGATATCTTTTATTAACTATATATTAATAAATTTTTATAAAATTATAACGATAATTAGTTTATATATTGTTATAAGTAAATAATTTGTTTAAATATATAGAAAAACCACAAAAAGGAAAAAAAAAAAAATAAAAGTAGAAATAATATGAATTTCATATACAATGCTTATTTGCATCTATAAACTTTTTTTTTTTTTTGTTATGTTCAGGCTTTTATTTATATAAGTATTACAATAAAAAATAATTTTTAAAAAAAATTACATAGGTGGGAACATATTTTTTTATTATTTCCACAAAATATGTTTTAATTTTAAACGAAAAAAAGTAGAATATCAAAATTAAAAATTAAAATAATGTTAAAACAAAAATGCACTTAATTTTTTTATTATTTAAAATTACAAGTTTATTCATTAATTTGTATTAAATGCATAAATTATGAATATTGAGAAAAATGCAAAAGTTTGCAAAGATCTTACATGTGTATTAGATGAGAAATATTTATATGTGCATCCAAAAAAATCGTTATTGAATCCTATAAATGAACATAAGGATAATTTATTCTAATACACATTTTTCTTTATATATAAAAAAAATTAAAAATGAGTTATTTGAGAAAATATTTTTTTTACTATAAAGATACAGATGAAATATATGCTGAACAAAAAATAAAATATAAAAAAATATTTATTTAATTATAAAAGGTTCAATACGGAAAATTAAATATATAATTATAAAAAAAAATAAATGAATTATTAAGTTTTTCAAGAAAATTTATATATAATCTTTTTATAAAAATATATTTTTTTCTTCATTTCAACATTTCCCATGTACGTGTATTTAAACTTCTGTTAGTTATATCCTCTGTTTTTATCATTCTAGACTCTTTAATTCTATTTCTGTTATATATGGAAGACAATAACTTATTAAAACATGTTCTACACTAATCTATTACAACATTATAAAATTAATGACCTAATTTTCATCTTTAAATCTCCTTAAGCCTACTCCTGATACTATTTAGATAATATCTTTTTTTTTTCTCTCCTTATTTTATTAATTTCCATTCCAGCAATTGTTCCCAAAATCATTCCTGCTGCACCTCCTGTTATTCCTCCAAACACTGATCCTAGGATTTTTACTGCACTTCTTGTAATTTCTTTAACTATTTCTTGAGAAATATTCCCAGTGGATAGGGGTATCCTATTTGTGACTCTACTAGAAATTCCTCTTAAAAACTTTCCTGAAGGATTTCCCATTAATGCTCCTATCAATCCCCCCATTCCTCCTCCTATAGTTCCTCCAACATATCCTCCTGCGCCTCCCCCTATAAGACCTCCTATAATTTCACGTATGGATTTTTCATCATTTTTATATGTCGATATCTCTGTTTGGTTTAATAATTTTCTTGTTACCAAACCTACCGATTTCCCCATTGCAGCCCCTACTACTCCTCCCGATACTGATCCTGCAGTTACTCCTACGGTTCCTCCAATAATTCTTCCACCCGTTATCAATATTCCTCCTGTTATTCCTCCTAATGCTCCTCCTACTATTCCTCCTGCTATTCCTCCTGTTGTTCCTTCTATTGGTTCTCTTACTTTTCTTCTTACCCTTCTTCTTTCAACTTCTATTGTAGATTCCCTTAATACATCTCTTTTCACATCTCCATCTATTAAGTTTTCTTTGTTTTTTATTCCCAATTCTTGAATAGGAAAAGGTTTTTCTTTAGTTTGATCTGTTAATATTCTCTTATTACATGGCAATGATTTTATTTGTAAGAAATGCTCGGGAAAACATAATGAATAGGAAGTATACTATAGTGAAAATTAAAAATTTCATAAAAAAAATGTATTTTATTTGAGTATATATGGTTTTAATTAAAATAATTTAAAAATTATATACACATTTACATAAGAATTTTGCATTACGTTAAAAAGGTACTGAAGTTTCAAAATAAAAGCAACAAAAGTAAATATACTAATAGATATTACAAATGCGATTATTTTTATTCTTGCATAACATTGTTTTAAAATATATTCATATGAACTAGAATTGTTTGCAAAGCTAATAGTTGCATTTGAAGTATCATCATATTCGATATTCATTTGTTATTATTTTAAACTTCAAAATAATTTGATACACTAAATATTTTTTACGAATTTATTTTTATGTATGATCTACAACTGTAGGATTTTTGTTGAGAATAAATGTTTTTCAAAATTTTTAAAAAGATATTATATTATGTAAAATTATAATTAATTTGATAAAATTGTATACAGAAATAAAATATGATAATCTGTATAATAAAAAGAGTTATTTAAAATTATTAAGTTTCATTTTCAATTTAAAATATGTATAAAAATGTCATTTATTAATATAATAAGAAACAAACAAATAACTGAAATGTTAAACTTTCAATTATGGATTTTACTATTTAAATTTATAAAGGAATTAAAAAAATAAAAAATGTAGTCTATATATATTTATAAAAGAGAAAATTTAAAAAAAATATAATACATATTTTTATGATAAAATTTTTCTATATTTATTTCTCTTAAAAAACACATAATTGTTTATATCTATGAACTTAGTTTTAATAGAAAAAATTAAAAAATTTTACTTTAATAGATTTCTAAAATATTACTTATATTTGTGTAAATAATTTTAAATATATATATATAATAAAACAAATGAATCTTAAATTAAAAGAAATAAATAATTTAGGGTTAATTTGAAGCTATATGACACATTATCCGATGTAAATATATATTATTTTTTTTTTTTTTTTGTTAATATAAACAATCCTATTATTGTTCGTAATGTTTAATTTTTAGTTGTTTTAAATATCATATATATTTTTTTATAATTTTTAATATATTTGAGATATTTTATAATTTGAAATATTTAATAAGTTATGGATAATTTATATTATTTTAATTTCGAAAGAATTTTATTAAAGTACATATTAAAAAAAATTAAAAATTTACCTTAAATACTTAAAATATTTAACAAATAAATATAAATTAAGTATTATTAAAAGTGAGAATATAATTATATTTTTTGAAAAAATAATAGCAATATGTATTGAATACATAAAGCATTTAAAAAGGTTTAGAAAACTTGTGAAAAAAAATAAAAACGAAGAAAACTTTTTTATTATCCTTTATTACTTAGAACAAAAAGAAATATAAAAGAAAATATTATCATTTATTTTTAATATTTACATATGAAATCATTAAAAATGTTATATTTTATTATGCATATCAATTTCTAATGATTAAATAAAAAAATATTTATGTTTTTCTTAAATTAATTTGTTCATGTCTATAAAAAAAAAAAAAAAAAAAACAATTAATGTATTATTTTATCACATAAGAATTATTACTATGATTTTATAAATTTTTAAAAAGGTTAATGTTAATTTTATTTGGTGTAATTTTGCTACTTAATTCATATGACATTATTTTACATATATATATATATATATATATATATATATATATATATATATATATATATATTATTATTATTTTGTATTACTAGTATTTCATTACATATTTGCGAAATTTAACTTTATTAGTTTTTACTTTATACTTTATTTTATTTAAATTGCTGATGAAATAATTTTATTTATTATAATTTTAACTTTTCTCATAAATTATACATTTAAATTTCATAACATAAAGTAATATTTTGTTAATATAGTCCATATATATTTATTTTAAATGTACTAAATTATTTAAATTATTCTAAATTATTATATATATAACTCTTATATTGTTTTTATTCTTTTATATTTGAATAAATATATGATATTAGAATAATCAATATAAAAAAAATAATTAGTGAAAATTTATTTATATTTTTCTGTTTTTAAATTTAACTTGGTAAAATTGTTAGTGTAATAAAAATATAAAAGAGAAATGGAAAATATTTATGTTTTAAATTTCTTTTATTTTTTTTTATAGATGTTACAATATTTAAAATAATTTGCTTTTATTCTCCAAATTTCATGTTTTTTTAACAAAAATTACAAACAATTTTAATAATTAATATAATCTTGTAAAATGTTAACATGATTAATTCTTTGAAAAGCTCATATAACTAAATTCAAGGAATATCAAAATAATTTTATAATCTCTTTAAAAAGCTTCATATTTTAAGAAATGAAAATAAAATAAAATAAAATAAAAATATCAAGTTTTTAGTCAATTTTAATGACAGTTTTGTATTAATAATTAATTTTGTATGAAAATAATTATTAATATATGTAATACACAAGTTGAAATTGTAAATAAAATTAAGGTAAAACAAGGTTCTTCATTTATACATCAACTCTTTTTTAAAATTTTTTTTATTTTTTTTTTAAAATATATAGATGTTTATGGTAATACCAAAGTAAAAATAATAATATTTAAAACAAAAATTTTTAAATGAAAAAGATAAATATGAAGGTACAACATACTCATCTTAATGTTACAAACTTATGCAATATTTTAAATTAAATTGTATGCTTGTATTTCTATTTTCATTTATAATTTTAATGTAATGGAAAATTATAATTACATAAATTTTGTAATTAATTAAAAAAAATATATGTATCTTTAAATTTAAACATATGTTAAAATAAAAAATGAAAACATACTTTTTAAATTTATACATTAGCTTTTTTAAAAAAAAATAAGAGTATTTATAAAAATAATTACGAAATTTTAAATTTTAGAATAAAGAAAAAAAATGTAATAATTTAACAAATGCAAAAAATCTAATTAAAAAAAAAATGTTCATCATTATATTTTATTTTTAACTATATTGAATATTATGTATATATAAATAATTTTTTAAAAATATAAAATGAGTTCGAGAATTTTTTTTTCTTATGCATTTACATAAAATATATAATAAATGAAAAAATGTATATTTAATAAATTTATAATTTGCAGAATGATACAGTGAAGTTTTTCTTATGTTGGAGTCAATGATTAATTAATTTTTTTATCTTTTCTATTATCATTCTTTTAAAAAAAAAAAATTTCTGTTCACTTTAATAAATTATTAATAAAAGATCATGCATATGTCTTTATTTTGCAATTTTGCCAACCATATATTCAGGTAAAATAAATTATATGTAAAAGGTGTATTATAAAGAATTAATCTTGTATAAAATTTTTAATGAATTTTTTCTTAATTTTGGAAATAAATAAATGAAAAAAATGTAATAAAAATGTATATAATTTCTATTTTAATAAAAATATATAATTATTTTTGTTATTAAATTTTTATACAAATAATGCATTTTAAATGAATAATTCTTACTCAAAAATGATATTTTTATAACATTTATGTCTACTTCATTTTTTAGATTAAGTTGTTTTAATAAAATTATTTAAATTTATTTTTTATGTTTTACTGAAATCATTAAAAATTATTTCATATAAGAATATTTTATATTATCTTTAAGAGTATCATTTTTTTATAAAAGATAAAAATTGATATACATTTCTCAAATATAAATAAAAATATAAAGACAATTACAATTGTTATATAGGAGGCATTATATAAACATGTTCCATTTAATTTTTTTTTATATTTTATATATATATATATATATATATATATATATATATATATATATATATATATATATATATGCTGTAAAAATAAAATGTACAAAACTACAAGCAGGAAATAAAAGGAAATTGTTATTTTATGAATTTTCGTGCATTACTGATGAGAAAATAAAATTTTATAATTTTAATTATGTTTCTTAATAAAATGAAAAAATAAAGAAAGGAAAAATAAAAAATAAAATAATAATTTAAAAAAGGAAAAAATTGGAATTATTCTATAAACAGCTATAATTTAAAAAAAAAAATTTTATGTATTAAAAAAAATATCTTTTATTGCTACGTAATGCATTATTATTATATTCTAGAATAAGAATTTCTATATTTCATATTTACATTACCGCTAAAATGACAATTTAAAATATACATATATATTTTATTATTATATTTAATTCTCTTTATGTATATCATATATGGTTTTTACCCCTACTAAAATTTTTCATTTAATGGATTGGATTAATTTCTAAAGAGTAAAAAAAGAAAAAGAAATTAAGAACAAATCATTATTATTTATTATGATAAGATTTCATTTGAATATATAACTATTTTAGATTTTATTTATTTTTTTTATTACTAACATTGGAAATATAATATTTTAAGTTTCGATTTTATTGAATTACATATGCAATCTTAAGATATAGAAAATGTGCAAAATAATTTTTTTAACAGTAATACTTTTTTTTTTTTTGTAACATAATCTAATTTTAAAAATCATTTTAATTTTAGGAAATAAGGAAAAAGATTCCATTGTATAAAAAAAAGTTAAGTAGTATAAAAATTATTATTTTATTTAGTATAATAATAAGAATGTAATAAATAAAAAACATATATAAGAATTCATTATATTAGTAATTATAAAATGAGAAACAATTCTCTTTACAAAACTGTCTATATATATGTAAATAAGAGATATATATGCAACATCATATGAGTATTATACGTGTGTTACTAATATGAAAAACTATAAAAATAAGTATTAATTTTAATATATTTTCAGAATTAAACATCAAGACTAAAACTGTAAAAAGAATTTAATATAACTTTGATTATATTATTCATGATTGAAAAACAAACATAATGCTAATTTTGTTGTATTTTTAATAATTGGTGCAACAATAATGTATATGTTAATAACTCTGGAATTAAATGTTATATTTCATATTTTTATTTTAATGGTAGTAATTGTAACATATATTTTAAAATTGACCCATAAATGATAATTAAAAAACTAAAAAAAGAATATGAATAACATATTTATGAAATTAATAATTATGTTAGAGAAAATTAATATATGGCTTTTTTGTTCTATATAAATAAGAAGTATTCTTCATAATTATAATAATAAAAATATGTTTGTGTCAGAATCAATAAAGAAAACAATTTTATTATACATATATCAAATTATAATAAATTTCATAGAGAAAATAATGGAAATGTAATTGTTCAAGTTTGTAATTTTATAATTTGATTTATGTAGAATTAATATATTATTTATGAATTAATTGTAAAATTAATATTTTATATAATTCTTCTTTAATGAAGAATATATATAATTTTTCTAATCGCATTTCACTATAGTAATATATTGGTGCAATCACTAATATTTAATTATAAAATATTAACAAGAACAATTTATCACACAGTTACGTGACTTAGTTTTTTAAGCAAAATGCTTGTCGTATTAACTACTAAATGATATATTAAGTTGTTTATATAAGAAAAAAATAAAATATGTACTTTTTAATAATTTAGAAATATTGTTAGTTTTTATTATTTAAATTAAGAATGAAGCATTTAGAAATAGATCTGCATATATAGTTATGAAATGTAGGTCAATGTAAAATTAAAAAAATAATATTTCGTAAAATTCGTCACTCTTATCAAAATAAAATATTTATTATAATATTATTAAAAAATTATGCTTCTTTTTAATAAAAAAGAAAAATATTAATTTACAATTACTTTTTTTTTTGTAACTTTATATGAGTATGTTTATTTTTATTCTAGAATATGTATTAGCAATTAAAAATAAAAATAATTTTTAAATTCAAAGATAAATATCATGGTAAAATATAAGAAAAAATGAAATTGAATATATACAAAAATTATATAAAGTGTAAATTTATATGTTACTTAACTAACATTTTATTTGATACTTTATTTAAAATAAAAATTATTAATTTTTAAAAAAAAATTTTATATATTATTTTTATTTCGGAGTATTCATAAAAAAACAATTTCATTTATATTTCAATATTATGAAGGGAAATTAAATAAAAGTTAAAACTGTTATAAATTAAAATCTTTTTATAAATGTGCAATTTTTATAAAATTCTCAAATTTTCTCTCTTTTTGAGACTTAAAAAATTTCTTAAAATTGTAAATAAATGTTCATAGTCAATATTTAAATGCATTAAAAATACAAGTAATGCTAAATATTCTTAAAAAATATATAACTCTTCAATACTTATATATATGAGACTTGTTTATTTATCAATAAAATGAAAAGTATAGATTAATATAGTTGTTCTAAATGCAAATGTTATTTGTTAAGAATTTATTATAAGACCTATATTAAAATTTCTTAAAATTGTAGAATATTTTTTTTTTGCTTTTTATTTATTTTCATTTAAATTATTGATATAGAATTTATATTTTTTAATTATTTTTATAGAATATATATATATATATGATAAAAGGATAAATTTATATTTTTATGAATATTAAAAAAGTTTTCATAACTGTATAAATATGTAGAATTATCTAAAAAAAAATAATAGTTATTTGCTAAACTCTTTTACGCAAACATAAAAGTAATTTATAAAAAAGAAAGCCACTATACATTAAACTTTAAGTTTATTTTTTACAAATTTTATATTAAAATATTTTTTTAAATTATAATATTGGACTACATACCATATATTTGTATGAATTTTTATGATAAGAATTAATATAAATTTTCATTTTTTATTATAATAAAGTAATTTCCATTGTATTAAAAGAATATAAAAACCTTTTAAATAAATAAATTCATTTACCTAAAAGTGTCCATTATATATAATATAATTTTATAAGGATATTAAGATATTTATCAATAAGTAAATATAGAACTTTTAAATTAAATGAAATTTAAAAGAAATTTTAAAAATAAAATATAAAAAGGCTTTTATAAAATATATATTTTTATATTCAAAAATATAAATAAACAATGCTTTAGCGAAACCAGTATTTAATAAAATGTCTATACAATCCTGAAACTAATCATCTATATTCTTTCTTATTTAGGTAAAAAATTTATCCACATAATTAAAAACATACTTAAGTGTAAGATATATATAAGTGACTTGAAATAAGAATACTTTTTAACTTAATATTTTTCGAAAATTGTTTTTGAAATATATAATTTTTTTTTTCAATTGTAACTGGTCAATATGTAGTATTATTATCTTTTTTGAATAAATAGTGAAAAAAAAAAATTTAGCTAATTTAGATATTTATTCATGCAAGATATTGGATAATATATATATTTTGTTAATTATGTGTTTTTAAAAAAAAATTTATTTTTATTTTTTTTAGTAATTTTTCCTTCAAAATAAATAGAGTATGATGTATTTTTAAGAAAAATTATGTTGCTTTAGTAAATCATAATTTTACATCCAGCAAAGTGTTAATTATTCGGAGAATGTTTATTAAGTTTTTTTATAGAGATTTTCTTTTGTATTATATAAACGTTTTGCTAATTAAATAAAAGCAAAAGAATAATAAAATATATTCACACATACTTTATTATTATGTCTTAAAAGTCGTATTAAATAAATAAATATTTTGTATTAAATATTTTAATTAATTCGAATATATATATATATATATTTTTAAGACTCATATAATTAGCAAAATAAGTAGGGATTGTTCTATATGCACTTTATTAATTTATCTATTATTTATCAAAAACCATTGAATGTCAAATTAATTAATCATCACCTTAAAAAATTTTTTTTACGCAATAAAAATCACAATTTCAATTTTCAGAATACTTAAAAAGAATTTTTTATTCATAAAGAAAAACATAATACAAAAAAATGTGTACTTAATTAGTAGTTTCTTCAACATTCCATTTTTATTCATTTATATATGTGAATATATTAAAAAAAAGGAAAGTTAAACTATTTACACATATAAATTAATATTAAAAATAATTTATAATAATGATTTAAATAGTTTTAAAATATTTTATTTTAAAATTATAAAATTATACTTCTAGATGCAAGTTTAAAACATTTATATTATATATAATTTTAATGGAGAAAGTTTTAACAAATATGTTGTTGAATTAAGATATTATTTTTCTTAGAATATTAATTAATTGTACTTATGTTAACTTTTGTATAATGTTTAGAATTTTAAAAGTTAAAAGTAACGTTCATGATCAAGTGTATTTGTGTTCATATTTTTTTTTTGATATATATAAAAAAAAAAAAAAAAAAAAAAAAAAATATAAACTTTATATCCCTATGATAATTATTTAAATTCTATTTATTCAAAAAAATTAATAAAATATTCATAAATATAAATTTTTGCATGTAATGTATAGCAAATTATATTTAAAAGTATATAAAACAAATGAAAAAATTTTTTGTTAAGTAAGATTACCAAATAATTTAATTTAGTAAACTATTTTTACTTAAACAAAAAAACTAAAAAGGAAAATTAAAAAATATAAATATTTTATTACTTAAAAATGATAATAATTAAAATAAATAAAAATATAATAAAATTTTAATTTTGAAAAGATAATGCATAACTTTTGTTTTTATGCATATTTCATAAGACAAATGAAATGCCATATTTTTAGGAAGAATCCTCATAAGTATACTTGTATATTGATTCATTTTTATACTTTTTCCTATTAATATAAAAATTTACTAGTATATTTCTATATTTTTTTTTTAAGTTATATTATAATGTAATAGAGCAATGAAATATCTTGTACAATACAGAAAAATCCTTATTTTTATTTGCTGTTCATCCTTTCTTTGAACTTGTAATTTTGAATTATACTTTTCAATAACATAAATTTATTTTTCATTATTTTAATGTTTTAAATTTATTTTTTTTCATTTTCCCATTGTTCCACTGATATGTTAACAAATTCATCCCATTCTTTCATTATTTTAATCTTTTTCTTTTCAAATGATTTTTCTTTTTTCATAAATGATTGAACAATTACTTCTAAAGAATATTCTCTTTTTATCTTTTTCTTGAAACTCTTCGTATCTTTCATATCTTCTTTCCACATTTTTTTAGAGAACATTTCAAACCATTCATTCCACTTCTTATCTTTCCACTCTTTATCCATTTTTTTAGTTTTAGGTCCAAAATACCAATCAATATAAATGTTTTCTTCTATTTCATTCCAGTATTTCATCCTTTTTTGCCAATAACTTGCTCTTTCTTTAAGGCAATTTTTATACCAAATTTCCTTTAGTCTCTTGGATTTTTCTTCGTCTGTTTCAATATCTGGAAAGAGATCTAACTCATAGATTTTCCTTTTTGCATACATACTTTCACTACTCTCTAAGTAATACTTTCTACATTCTTTACTTAGATGTTCAGTTGATTCTCTTAAATTTAATTTATTGAAATATAATCTCAAACATGGAAAATCTTCTACAGATTCTCTATACTCTTTGCTGAGCTGTTCAGATAATTCTCTTAAATTTAAATTATTGAAATATAATCCCAAACATGTTTTATCCTTTCGTTTAGAAATACGCTATAATATAATTTAAAGGTAAAAAAAAAAAGTTTTTTAATAATTAGAACTATAAATATTTAAAAAAAAAAGAAATATATATCTTGTGAAGTAAATTTTATCTTACTTGTAGCAAAAAATATAAGGAAATAATAAATAAAATTGAATATAATCTATAAAACTTTGAATTTACTAGATTTATTCTTTTAAATGCTTCATTTTTATTTCTAAGATAGTTAATAAAGAACACTAATGTATACATATCACTAAAAGATAATGTTCTTGGCAATTTTCTCCCCTTGTCATTATAAAAAGTCATATTAATGTATTTTTAAAATACAAATTAACATATAGTAATATAAAAATACTTTAATTTTATTTTAATTTATTTTTTGAGTAATTCATTATATAATGGTTGTTTTTTTATAAAATTAATAATTAATACTTTAAAAAAATCATAATAAGATATATAACGAATAAAATAATATATAAAATGTAGAAATGTAGAATTGTAGAAATTTTTCAGGTAAAAAATTATTTTAAAAAATCATAATTCTAATTTCTTTCATATAATGTTTAAAAAAAAAAATTATGCTTTAATAAAATTAAAATTAAGTATAAAATTAACAAAATTATTTTCCATATTAAATAATATACAATATATATCAAAACCAAAAAAAAATATTTTTTTATAATTTTTTTACAATTTTTTTAAAGCAAAAATTTAATAAATATAAAGAAGAAAAAATTAGTGTAATTTTTACCATTAATCATTAATTGCAACTTCTTTTTTTAAATATTATATCTTTCATTTATTTACATATTTATTTATTTATTTTTTTTTTTATTATTATTTTTATTTTAAAAAATTAACAAAAAAAAAAATATTTCATTTATTTTTTTAAATCTATATAGAATGAAAAATGTATATGTATTTTTGTGAAAATTATAATACATTTGCTTTATTTCCTTAAGAATTCCATTTATATAAAAAGCTATTTATATATAAATGTAATTATTTATAAATATAGAAGAAACTTTTTTTTATAATAAAATAGTTAAATTACATTATATTATTTTTTTTTTTTCTAAAACTATTGTAATACACGGATTATTATGACTTTTAAATTTAGATTTAATAGAAATAAAATTGTTGTACTCCAAAATTAACTTAAAAAAAAATATAATAGAATATTAAAATATTTTTTACATTTATTTATTTAATTTATTATTATTTTAAGATTTTAATTTCATTACCAATTTAATTTATTTTTATTTCTGTAATTTTTACTTTTAATTATATTGTTGTAAAAACTGTTGTTTTTTATACTTTTCCTTTTAATTTTTTATTGTACTTTTTTTAATATTTTCGATTTTTATCAGTAATTTATGAACTATTCTGTAGTATATTTTTTTTTCATGAAATTTCAATATGAACAATTTAAAAAAGAAAATAAGGAAAATTCATTTTCATTTTATTATATTAATTAAAATAATTAAGTAAATATTAAAAAAAATTTAATTTATAATTAACTTTTTTTTAAAAATTATTACATAAATTTTTTTTTTTTTTTTTTGTTTTTTATTGTTATGAAATACATAATTTTTACATAATTTTAAACACATTGATTTAATTAAAAACAAATCTTGATTTTTTTTTAAAATTTATTGGATATTAAAAAGAAATAAATAAAAAAAATTGAAAAAAATAAAATAAAAATAATTTTTCTCTATTAAATGATATAATATTAATCTAATTAGTTATATAAAAGTGTAATTACTGAATTTATTATCTTTCAATTTATAAAATTTATAATTATTTTAATCTTATATAAATTATTCCACTTCGTAATATAAGTGTATAAATAACTTTTGCAAATTTTTTTTTATATTTTGTTCAGGCATAGTTATATGAGTTAAAATAATTTTACTCATAGTTTTTAATAATTTTTATATAATTTTTTGAGCATGCATTATTAAGAAAATTTATATTAAAAAAAGAAGAAATTAATAATTGTAGTATATATAATATTATAAATATTATTATTATTTGAAAAAATATAAAAAATTATTGGAGTATGTTATAGCTGAAATAAGAATAACAATGCAAAAATTTAAGTGATTAAATTGAGTATATTTCTATGATTATTTAATTGATTTTAGCTTTATTTTAATAAAGATATATAATAATTTTATGTTAATGTAGTTATATAATAATAATACTATGAAATAAAATTCATATATGAAGATTCCTCTTTATGTATAAATAAACATTTAGTATTATAAATTAACAACATAATTTTGAATAAGAAGTAATTAAAATAACAATAATATATTATATAATAGTTTATTGTTTTAGACATGATTTGTAGAGTTAGTAATTTTAAAATTATCATGATTAAAAAATTATGATGTCTACTATAATTAAAATAATTACGAAAACACTAATATGTGATTATTTTGTTAATAGTAAATTATGTTATAATATATATATTAGTGAAAATTGTTAATGTGAAATTAAAAAAAATAGTGCATTATGTAGGAATATAAGCTTCTTTTCTACTAAAATAAATATACATATACATTTAATTGGAATAAGATATTTTTTCAACGGGAAAAAATAAAATATTAATGCCACATATATATTTAGTCACAATATAATACATGTGAATATACTTTTATTGTAATTAAATATATAGTATAAGAGAACTATAAAAGTAAATGTTATTTTTTTTTTTTTTTTTTATTTATTAGTAAGTATTCTTTCTATAATATACATATATATATATTATTACATTATGACAAATAAGAGTAATAGAATGTTTGTATGTGATTTAAAATAAGCAAGATTTATAATAATTCTCTAATTCCAAATAAGATATTCTTATTTACATAATTTTCTTTTTAGTTAATTTTTATCTTGAATAATAGTGTATCTGCGATTTTTAAGGTTTAAGCTGTAAATATAAATGAAAGAACGAATTATTATATTTTTATATATAATGTTATTTTATATTATTTTAACTCACTTCCTAATTTTTCTCAATGTTATATATTTTTAATTATTAACAAACTTTATTACAATAAAAAAAAAAAATGGGATATTTAATGCATATTAATATTTCGTATAATAATAGGATATATAATATTTAACAATGGATTTCTATAAAATTTGAAATATTTTATGCAGTGATATACATTATTTATTTCATTTTTATTTAATTATCATAATCATAATGACTAACATTATTTTCATTTAGATATTTTATTACATTATACAAAATTTTATAGATGTAACTTTAAAGAATAAGCGTAATTTTTCAAATAATGCAAAAATACTTCAAAATGATCAATTTTCCTCTGATAAAAATCAGTAGTTTAAAATAAAAATGATAATTTTTAATATTTTGATTATCTACATTATTTATACACAGAGTTTTTAAAATTATAATGCCCATTTATGAATAATTTTATATTTAAATTACTTGCATATATTTTTTAAACAAGTGATAATTAATTCAATTTTTTTCTTTTTAAGGTAAATTTACATTTATAAATAAAAAAAAAAAAAAAAAATATGAAATTATTAGTTGGAAAAATTTGAAGTTGTGGAATATTAATTAAAACATTATTATAATTTTTCAAAAGTTGTTTTATTAAAAAAAATTGTAAAATAATTAACTCATGATGTTAATATAATAATATAAATGTACAAAAAATTGCCATATATTTTCTAATTTTTTTTTTTTTTTTTTTTGCTGTTCTTGTTAAAATTCGTAGGCTGTTTTCTTAAAAACATTAAATGAAGTGAATTTAATTAACTAATTTATTTTTATTCAGCTATTTAATGATTCTTATTGACAATTTTAAAAACAACTGAGAAGAATAAAAATTATCTTTCATATATTTTAGTTCTTACATTAATATATACGAAAATTTTAAGTTATATGCAAAAGAATTCTCTACTAGGAGAATTAATTATTTATACATACAGAAATAATATTTAAATTTAAATAAATAAATTATAAAAAATTCCTTTTTGTATTTAGTTATATAAAGAAAGAAACATAATTCTATTGCGTTAATATAGATAATTGGCTTAACATGCATCTTTGTTTTCATCTAATAAAAATTTAATTTTTTATATTTCAAATTAATTTCATATATTTACTTTTTTTTTTTTTTTCTAATTAAGTTAATATTTTCATTTAAGGAGAACAATAAAAGATGATTATTTAATTTACCTATGTAATAATATACATTCTTTATGTATTTTAATATGTATATACCTTTATGTTAACATTATATATAAAAATAAATAATTTATTTAAAAATTTTTTTTTTTCTTTGTTACTAAAAATAAATATTAATAACACAGCATGAAAAGTTCAATAATAAGTAAAATAGATAAGAATGAATTTATGTTTTTTAATCATTGCTCATTTATTTAAATTTAATAGAGTGCACGTTATTTTGAATATTTTTAAATGAAAAATTTTAAACATTATAAAAGTGTACACACGTTTAATTTTTTTTACTTTTAAGTATTTTTGCAACTTTTAATAATAAAGATAAATAATAATATATTTTTTCATTGGATGATTTATTAATTGCTCGTTTAACAACTTTACTAAGTTTTTTAGCAGTAAAATATCCTATTAACCTTTTTGATATTTCCTATAATAGTAGTAAATTTTTATAAAGAGTTTTCTGTACATGTAAGAAATTTAATGATACATACTGAGATATGTTTGAAGATATATAAAACAATATTTTGTTTATACAGAAAAATTATGAAATATTTTACCAAAAAATATATATCTTCTGAAATATAATGGAGATATTTTTTAAACGTGTGCATAATAATAATAAAAAACAAATGAAAATTTTTTTTTTTTTTTAAATTATTTTAAATGTGGGTGAGGATAATTTTTTTATGTTTTATATGTATATGTCTTTTAGCAAAAACTATTGAGAAAAGTGATTAAAACTATGAAATATAAATACATATTTTCATTTTATTATAAATAGATACTTATATAAAGGGAATATAATTATATAAACATGTATATCTATTTATTCTATGGTAAGTAGATAATTATATAGATGAAATATAATTTCCACATTAAGTGTGCTTTTTATAAGTAAAACAAATAGAGATCTCTCGATATGCTCTTTATTAATTTCACTATACAAAGTACTATGAAAGTCAATGAAAAGCCAATTAATAAATAAAATATTTAGTGAAACATTATCTAATGCATTAGTTTTTGATATATTTTTGTTTTTATTAGGTTTAAACTTTCTTCTGAGAACTAT